GAACTCGCAGCTTTCCGGAGGTGCAGACATGAGTCTAACCTCTTAACCACTCGGCTATCCCTGCCTTCATGGGCGCCGCGATCAGCAAACATATATAGTTGACACTGGATAATTGAGCTCGGTAAGAACTCCCAATTTTAGTGTTTTATTCGGTTTGATGATAGTAGTGACATTCATGGAGGCACCTTCTCATCTCCTTGTCCTAAAATCTCCTCACCGACACCGCTGCATTCGAATCCCGCGTGCGGAAATTTTTTTTTCAAATCGCAGAACCATGCAGAGTTTATCAGCAATCTGCACACGCTTTGACGTGTTGAATTCTGTTAGAAGACCCGCAAAGCCTTGCCTCGTCTGGATCGCCGCGCGGGCCGCCGCGCAACTTGCCGCGTGCCAGTCCGGACCAGCCAAAAGTCCCGCGCCCTGATATTTCACATAAATTATTAGGATTTGAGTTTGCCTTCAGTGCAGGACAAGAAATATATGGTTTCATGTGTATGGCCCAGCTCTTTTTTTTCTAGCGCCTTGAAAATGATCAAATTGCAGTTGCTGTGTTGTGTCGAACGGAGCTCACACAAATTTTTTGACCCTGGGAGTAATCTTCCAAAATAATTTATTCAGGAAGCAATAATATGAATGAACCCACACGTCAAAACCGTGCTCCTAATTCTGCTCATAAGTTGTAACTTGACTGTTGTCGTCACTAAACATGTGAGGGAAATACCGCATTGGTAGTGTGTGTCCTCTGAGTTCCAATGGCATTTTCTTTCTCTGCATATTACAAAGAAACTCTGTGCCACGAAGATGTGTGTGGTCCAAGTGCAATCCTGGTAACTTTTTTGGGGAGGACACCTACCTGCAGTAAATTTGATTTTATAACACTTTGAATGATTACAAATATTCAAGTGTTATGGTGCAGATGCAGTCGTAGCATCGTAGCATCCAGTCGCAGCTTGAGTTCCGCGAAGCACTATTTATTAGTATGCTTGATTTGATAACGACTGTGGGTTCGGAAGACCAAATGCTCATTAAAATAACTTTAGAAGAACTTAGCATGATTGGAGAGAGGAATAATTTGAATTTTCCAAATCAAATCACTTCGGCGCAAAAGCTCGAATATGAAGGAAGTTATAGCCCTAGAAAGAGGAAGGTAAAAATTGTAGTGCAATTTTATTTCTTGCTTAATAACTTATTCATTTCAAATTGTTTGAGAACAAATGAGCTTTACTTAGAAAGGCTGAGCCTCGGTGATCCAAAAACCGCCTCCACTTTCCGGTACCTGAAATTATGCAAAGAAAAATTCGTCTAAAATTTAGTATCCCCGTTCGTCGCCTACTTACGGTCAGCAAACGCCCTCCACCGTCGGACGCTTAGGCCGACGTCATACTTTGCAATTCGATTAGCGAATCGAATCTGGCGAATCGCTAGCGAATCGCTGCGAATCGCTAGCGAATCGCTGGCGAATCGCTAGCGAATCGAGCGAATCGCTAATCGAATCGCAAAGTATGACGTCGGCCTAATGGCGTGAATCAGCACATTCAAACGCGATTCGATTCGATTATTAGTTCAGTCATCATTCCTTTACTACCCATACCCATACTACCCGCAAACATATCACTATCAGTATGCAACTGTTTTGTTTGACACCAGTCAAGAGGATCATAAGATTCTCGAAGAATTGTGAATTTGAAGGAATTTTCATTTTGTGTGTTTTGCAATTCCATCTTTCCGTCTGAATGCGTGTATTTTATTATTATTTAATCTCCCCATAACCTAAGAGGTGCTAACTTAGTTGGGGGGGGGGCACGCGGCGGCGCGGCAGTCTGCTCACCTGGGCTCTCTCGAGCGAGACAGTGTAAACTCGAACATTCCAGCTTTTCACGCATGTCAAGTGACTGCCCTCCACCCCCCACCCCCCTAGACTGGCCTACACTCCCCCTGGCCCACGGATTTCGAACAAGCCAGGCGAGCAGACTGCCGCGCCGCCGCGCCAGATCCCGCCGTCCGCCCCCCGCAACAAGTAGCACCCTAAGGGAGTCGGTTTTATTTTATTATTTGGGTTCCTCTCCAAGCCCAGGAAAAAAGCTGCAGTTTTTATTTCGTTATTGAATGTTTTTTTTTTCATAGAGAATACTAATCCAGTCAGTATTGTAAAATTGCATGTTAAAAGAACCATTAATTAAATATTTCAGTGAAAAATTGGTGGCATACATGGTCTGTACACAAGTATTACAAGCCCAAGTATTACATGTATTACAGGTCGCATCAAATCGCCCATGAAGGGAAAGGGGGTCGTAAAAAATTTCCAAAAAGTATCAACGGTAGGGTTGACCCTGGTTGCACGTCTGATTGTCACAGTTGGCGAGGTTTCCCATAGCCGCGTTTGACGTCGCACAGGCAGTTCAAAGTTGGGATCTTCTTTCATAATAAAGGCACAGGTTAGAAAGAGGTGGTTTTGTCCTCTTTGTTGATAAAATTTCTACGCATGGTAGCTGTGTTGTATTAGAGAGATTTCCCGCCTTCTATGTTATGAATTTTATTTGCCTACCTTTGCGAATTCAATCATCTGCAGGGCCCGCTCTGCATCAGGTTTGGATAAATTTTGAGGCGGCCCCAACTTTTTACTGTCATGTCCTTCTCATGAGGCAACGGACATGTGAGGCTAATGGGCCCAGCTTGTGGTCATGTACCGGCCTCATTGGTCACTCTCGTCCATCATTTCAGCATGACTGGCGGTCTTTTGTAGAGGGGTCTCCTCCACTGAGGTTGGAAGCAAACCAAACAACTGTGCGCCGCCATTCGCAGAAGGCCATTAAAATAATTGAACAAAAATTCGCGGGCGACTTTCTATTGTCAACGATTTCTGCCATACAGTATCGACAGTATTCAGGGGGGGGGGGGGGGGGGGGGGGGCGTTCCACGACGGACACTGTGAAACCATACGAGTCTTGTCGCTACCCGATTGACCAGCCTTGTCAGTAAGACAGTCAAGCGACTGGAAGTGCGCAAGAAATGCTGAAGACACACCCCCATCACAGACTCTTGTAAATAGTCCGGACGGTACATCACTTGAATGTTTAGGGCAGGCAACTAAGAAGAAAAGACTATATGTGTTATCCCCACGTTTCAATCCTTGTCATGGTACAGAAATTTTTGTTAATGATCAGTCCGGTCGATGTCAGTATCAGGTTTTGCTGATGATAGGCTTCTTTTTCAATTATGCAGTTGTGGGCGGGGGTGCGGCTGTGTATCACTCTGGCGGCTAGGTCTTCCTCGTATCTCTGACAGAGCGTGAATTTGTAGCACAAGACATCGAATCTCTTCGCGTCATGCCCCGCCAGTGTTCCCCTCCCCGAGGGCCAGAGATACAGTCAAATCTTGAGCCAAATTGGTACATATGCAACCCACACCGATGATAGCCACGGGCATTGGTCTCACAGACGACCATACATCGCCAGCCACCCACAACGGCGCCTCTCCATATGATCAATTAATCAGCCCAAATTCCCCCCACCAGTGAAACTTTGGCAAATCTTCGGGCCACTTGTTTTAACGTGTTTCATCAATTCTCCGCGCACGACTCGTTTGTTTTAACAGTTTGCGCTTACATGGCCAAATTTGTAATACTCAATCTAAGTTTATTTCTCACATCGCGATGCAGTATGAAACTCCAACACACTGGATCTAACCTGGGTATGACTGTTGGTAATCTCAGGCACATTTAAATCGAAAATTGTCGCGTCTATGCAGCATTATGCAGAGGAAATATATCCCAGGCACGCATGAATATTGAATCAGCACTCCCATACCCCCCACACCCACGATTTAATGGCAGGATTTTCGTAAGTATAGACAGAAGCGTATTGAGGCTGCAGTAGACATGTATTGACTCAAGAGTAGCATCAAGCGGCACATTACCATCGTGAACAATCTCCTCTGTGCGGTGCGTAACAACTTTTTCGAAGAATGTGCAGGCACTTTGGCAAGTTACATAACGTTTTATTACTATGGTAACCATATTGACTTAACAACCAGTGATATTTGGTTTGATATATACAAGTCTGTGTTTCAACAGCACGTCCAAGATACTCTGATCAGGAACCGAAAACCCATGCATGCTCTGCTCGATCGACTTGACTCGTCGATTCCCTACGCACCCACACAAAACTCTACAAATCACAATTTTCAATATTGACAGCCGTGGTGGCTTCTTCCGGATGATCGACAACTGTCGATCCAATCTCGATGAACTCAATGCAGCCCCGGAATCCATCTAGGTGTTGAGAGTCAGGAGGCATTCCACCTGAAATCAGAAAAACTTGAAAATGTGTTGGGAGTATTGCACTGAAGAAACTGTACCGATGAACAGCCCTTTGTAAACGTTGAGCTCTTCGGAATCGCCTGGCGCCATAGTGGTAATGGGTGTTGCATCATTGATGGACAACGTCAGTTGACGTTTATGCCTTAAACGAACGATCACATTTTGACGTCAACTTCCGTCTCAGTTTGTCCCAATCAAGTATGAGTCTGGGTAGCATAGGTAGCATAGTACGGTATCAAATGAATACCGGTTATTGCGTAATCAAACAATGAATGAATCTTTGAATGATATCAAGTCCAAAATTCATGTTCAGAGGCGAAACGCTGACTTCTACTCTCGCCAGACCTTCGTATACAATCAAATCGGCCATATGCGCATTAAAACGCATTTTTCTTCTTCCTTACACTCTAAATGGGAACTGAGTACGCATCACAGCAAAAGATTAAAGGAATCTTCCACGGACCATGGACCAGTGGGCGGGACCGGAAGTTTTTGTGACGAAATGCATGGTAGGTACGGATCCACGTGTCGAACGCACGAACGTGAACAGGATTCACTTCAAACCTTCCCATGAACGTGGATCCGTACCTACCATGCATTTCGTCGCAAAACCACTTCCGGTCCCGCCCACTGGTCCATGGTCCGTGGAAGATTCCTTTAACCATTTCTATAATTTTTGGAATATTGCTCCCAGATCCTCCGACCACGTTCGCTGGTCCTTACACGAGCATTTTTTGCAGTCACTTCCATGGAAACGTTGAAACGTTGATTGCATTTGACTTCCGACAAAAATCAAATTTCCAGCGAGCACTTTTTCAGCAGCATTGAATTTGCTACAAGAGCAAAAAACGTGGAGGCCTTCTTATAAATCTAGCCAACTATAATTCGCATTAGTTACGTCACGGACCACTAGATATGCAAATTTTATAAATGTACGGTCGATGAAAACGAAGAGAAGTATGCTTCCATACCAAAATAAGCCTTATTGTAGTATTTTCACGGAGGGGTCACTTGATTGCAGCGAGGGTTGCTAGGGTCGAAAGCTATGTGAGCAGAAGGCTAGGAACTTTTCTTGTTTCCTTCTTCGACATTTCCAAGGACTTCGTGTTTCTTTTGTATGCTGTGATCATTACTGACGGCATGAAAGCGGCTTGCGGCCAAGGTAAAGCTGGCGGACTCTTTAGGGACACACCCAAAGCGGGGCATAGCTTGGGGTCCAAATATGAAAAAGAGCTGCTGTTTGCTGGTAGTGGGGAAAAACGACAAAAAACGCCGAGAACGATAAAGAAGGCTTATTACTGTAGTTGGTTTTCGCCCTTGTAGAAGCTTGCGTCCAAAAATGTGGGCTTAAGCAAGGAAGGGAGATAAGAAACACAAGGATACCAATGTGGCACCACTTTCAAGTCCTACGTACAGAGAGGATCTGACGGGGATTAGGAGTGATATAGCACCTTGGCATAACCTCGCTGCTTGCGGATTGGCATACTTCACAAGCGGAAAAATTGCACCACTCAGCGAATCCTCAAACATGCTTTAGAAGATTTGAATTTTTATGCGTGTTTACACACACTATTAAACGAAGGTGGTGAGAAGGCAAATGGCGCCATTAAAGGCGTTTTACGATGAAAAAGCAACCCATTCGAAATTAACCTAGAGATGGTCAGTGGTGCACGAAAGAAGAAAAAACCATGAGAAACGGCCCAGAACCCGAGAAATGGGACCCCTTCCTTGCCCGTTGATTTGCGCATTGATGCGACTCATTGCCCTCTTCAACGCTAGCGCTCTCTCTGCTGAACGGCTAGAGACCTGCGGCGAGCGGTTAGCCAGTCGGTGGGCGTACCGCGCCGATAGCGCGCGGAACGGCCATGCTAGATCGCCGGGGCATATCCTTCGATGCGAATTGCGTGTCGGTCCGCACCCTTAGGAGGTCCGCCTGTCTCTCCACTAGGTAAGTTTCCCCTTCTTCGACCTTCGTCCTTATCGTGGAATCCTCTTCAAAACCTTCGTATTAGGACTCATATCTCCAGGCATCACACAGGTTTGGCTTTAATCTCTTGCTCAGTGCCAACCGCCTTCCAAAGCCTCTCCGGCCGATTTGTTTTGTACTAGGCTTGTATTGAGGGATACGAAGACTGAACTCTCACATCTGCTCGCTTGCCGCAAAATCATGGCTAGGTCTACATCATTGCCCAATGCCACTCAAAGTCTGAATGACAGCGAATTGAGCCTGAAGTAGCCGCCAGGGCCTGTCAAAGATGAAGTGGTGGTCAGACGCCGGCAGTCCCTTTATTCGTGAACACAGAATCGCAGGTGGCCAGCAGTAGCTCCAAGGATGGCTATCAGATATCAGACGCGAAGGCCTCATCCGCAGAGGAAACAGGGATAGAATTACGATTAGACGTCGCTCACCCTTGAATCTCAACGCGAGACGCATCGTTCGGAATCAGCGCGTAAAGGATGGTGAGTGAGCGCGCACGAGTCCTGAGCCGCCGCTTCATTCATCACCGCACGTTTCGCTCGTCTAAGCAGGAAATGCGGAGTGTCTAGAAGCAGTGAGCGCTGATAGAATGGAGAAATTCGTTACCGGGGTGATTGAGCAGCTCGGAAGAAAGTCAGCGCCGAGATACCAATGTTTCGCCAGCGAAATTACGAGTAAGCTGAAGGGGACGATTTTGCGTGAGTTTCAACAATCGAATGAAAGCACTCTCTAACCTGGCTCCTAGTGGGGCGACGAAGTCCTGCCTTGCTTAGTTTTGAAGCCTTGATTCCATCCTTCCAGAAAGTTTCCCCTCCAGTACCTGCAATTATGTAGGTTACTTGCTCTCCTCAGACGAGCGCCAAATTGCAAAACTTACTGATTCCATGACATCGCCTTTTCTGAGTTCCAGGTAGGAGTAGCCCGAAAATCGCATCGTAAGTAGCCGTTTTGTCTCTGTAACTGTAGGCTAGGAGGAGAACCGGGGCAATTTTCGGGAAGCGTTTCAAAAACTGGTAGAGAGCTTGCCTTGTTCGCAAGTCTTCCCATGTTTGGGCCATTCACACAAGCACACAAAGTCGTCGTTTGTAGAGGTGCAAGAGACGTGGGCACCCGGCAGCCGCACAGGGATCGGCTCCACATTCGCGAATGTGTTGACCATGTTCGGGACGGAAAGCGATCGAACGTCCGTTCAAGCGAATCTGAACATGTCCAGAGGTGCGATACAAAAAAGTGGAGGATATAATCTCGCTATTGAAAGTTTCCTCTATAAAACATGTAAACGGCTTCATTTGTGTATCCGCCTTCTGGACGCTTAAAGCAGCACTCCGGATTTAGTTGGTGGAATGACCGCGGCCGATAAGGAAAAGAGAATACCGAGCTTACCGAATGAAAAAAAAAACAAAGGGAATTGCCGATAACGCCCTGAGCAAGTACTCCCTCTCTCCCCAGCTCCGCGAAATGGGGGAGGGGCGTGTCCGGACGAGTTACCTGAAGGTGCATGCTCTTCGGGTTCGATAGCCCGCGCGTATTTGAACTAGCCGCTACGTCGAACTACTCGTTGCGTGTCATGGGTGTGCGCGAGGTTTGTCCATTACCTCACAGCCGTCATTAGCTCATTGCGAGGCCTAGCACACATCGCTCCAGCTTATGATGAGGGCTCATCGATACCCGCAACTTCAAGCTCCTATCCACCTTGGCTTCCCACTAACCGCATCGATATGTGTTGTAAGCCCTACGCTTGTAGACACTTACGTGCTAGAGGATGTGTTCGAGGTATCCCTTTCATTGGCTCTCATTTGCTCACATTAGCTCAATTCCTAAGGCCCAAGAATCTTTGTGACGCGCTTTTGAATAGCGACATTACTATACCTTTGGGCAACTCTTTGTTTCCCACAGAACAGATTGTTCCACACGACTCCTCTGAGGTTGTCGCTTCAATAGGGTGGGAGGGAAAGGGAGGGAGGATTGTTGCCTTGCAGCTTCAAGTGAGTGAGAGAGGCGGGAAATTATTGCCGGTACTTCAACTTCTGCTTCCCAAGCGGTGAGAATTATCAGCCCATTCGAGCCGTATAGCAACCTTTGTTATCCATATCGACCCGGCTGAAAAGGATTTGCTTGAGCGTGTTCTTGAGCAACTGCCCCTCTCTCATGAGGCCAGTTGCCGCATTCTGAATAAATTGGCCATATCCCGTAGAACGCGCATTCTTAGTCCACCTTTATACTCGTTTGATGCAACGACTCTTCTGATGTGAACAAGTTTTTAGATTGCGCAACGCAGCTGACTTAAGATATCCACAACCTTGGGAAGGAACTCATAGTAAGTCATGAAACGGTGTTAGCGAAATTGAAGCAGACTGAGAACCCTAGCAGCAGAATTCTTTAAAAAGACTAACATTAAAACATTTCTCTATTTTTTTTCTAACGTCTAGCCACTGTCCCGTTGTATTATAATTTGCCGTGTAGTTTGTGACGTGTTCTACCACATTTGTAACGGGGGCAAATGGCGGCAGCATCCGAACCGAGCGTAAAAGTTTCCTTTTGTCGAGAGACCGTGGGCTACCGTTCCAGGCTGAAGTTTCTTTGCAAAAATTTCCTCTTCCTTCCCTCCGCTCAATTCCGGAGGATTCCCCCGTATCTTGCGATAGTGCCCACTTCCTAATACTACTGCTCTTGAAATCTCTGTAGTTTACAAGAAGCGCACCAAAACCCCAGGATCAACCTTACCAACTTTGTATAGCCCATATGTCCGACTAACTATCGTAGGTAAGTATTTCCCTCACCTTTTTCATGCATCCATGGAATCCGGAAAGCATGGCAAGGTGATGCGGTAGGTTGCCATCGTATCCGCCAATGTACAACATCCCCGGCTCGGTAAGAGGACCACGTATCGATATCAAGCGTGGCGGATTCAGCACCCAGGACTGCGATCGCACCTGAAGCATTTCTTAGAAAAGCTAGCAGACGGCTTCCGAGTGATAACGAGCCTTCATGAGGATTCCTTTGCCGGTTCTCCAGATCTCGGCGCGATGCCATTGGTGAAGGGTGACCGGAGACTCTGATCTGAAAATAACAATGCAGTCAATACAGGGACGCCAAAATTGGATGGAATACCAGTGATGATCGCGAGAAAAAAAAGCGGACTCTCTTTTCTCAGAGAATAAGATGATTATGCAACATTTGAAAAGTGAAACGCTTGAAGAACGATCCACGTAGAAATGGTCGAAATGAGATTTGTTTATCAGAAGCTCTTAAATAACCAACGGTTCCTAGTAATGGGTAGAATCTCACGGACTGGGTGAGAGCGAAAAACACTTCATCATCGTCAGCTTCCTAATTCATGATCTCTAATGGTATGCCTAAATGATGTCCTCCTTCATGTTGCAAATTCCACTTTGAAAGCCCGAATTATTCCCCAGATAAAAAAACCACCAATTTTGATAGGATTTGTTCACAATTGGCGCTATGCATATGACTTTGATGGCATCGCGCGGGAGAATATTCTTGTTTGGGCTATATATGCGCAATATGTAACAGCTGTGCCCCTAAAATTAAATATTACATACAATAAACGGCCTATATAGTCTTGCTTATTTATAGCTAGTAATCCGTAAAGAACGTGCTAATCACTCGTGTCTTGTTTCCATTAGGGACTTCCTAATCGATGTATTGTAACTGACTCCAGATTGGATTCTCCCATCAGCGTTCCTTGTTGCTTGCTACGCCTTCAGAAGCATCGGTTGATAGAGAGGATAGAGAGGGGGGAAGGCATGTCTACCTCTTACCCTTCTGTTTCCCCCCTTACCCACCTGATAAGGAGTCCGCCCTTTCTTTTATGAAGAACGCCGAATACTACTCAGCGAAAATAAAATGCTCCCGATTGTCGCGAGTAGATTTCCCTAATTTGTGCTTTTTCTCAAAATTTCGGAAGTCCTTGCATGCCCAGGCGATTTTTACTCAAAATTGATTCTTTCAGAGGGAAGACCGTCTCGATTTCTGTGATAAGGAGCTTATCTCGCAATAGAAACAGGTTTTAATCGTTTAAGATTGTAGTGGAAATGCCATACTATGTCCTGCATCATCCGATCGGACTACGATGGAGCGGCTCGGTGAAGTTTCCGTAACCCGCTCAATGAATGAGTCAGTGCTTCCTTTCGTGACTGTGGCATGTAATCCCGAAATTTGACATCGCTCGAGACCGGGATTGATCTTTACTTCGATGGAAACAGCCCAGAACAGCGCTGTGTTGCCTCGCTCGTTACACGCGGACTTGAAATTAGTTGGCATACATCTCGATAAAGCATTTATTCGTGAGTATCGGCGTTTCCATAAGAGAAAGGCGGACTCCGTTATCAATTGGGTAAAGAATAGAAGGATAAGAGGAAGATATACCGTCCTTCCCCTTCTATCAACCGAGTGCTTCTGAAGGCGCAGCAAGTAACAACGAACGTTGATGGGAAAAATCCAATTTGATGATTGACCGCATAATTTGGGATTGAGGCAGTCCCTGATGGAAACCAAGAACACGATTGCCTTAGCCAACGTTGTTACGGATTACTAGAGCTATAAATAAGCAGGACGTGGGTACTCCATCGTTTGTGCGGAAGGTGTATTTTTACCGCATTGTGTGACGATGATGAGAGCTTCCTCATAGAAACAGAATCACAACATATTCGGTTATGCTAGTAGGAAATATGGAGAGCAAGAGAAGATGAAAGAACATAAAAGAGAAGACTTCCATTTGTTCGTGGAGTTATATCGGTTCATTTACAAACAACAGCTCGGCTGTCGAACTCGTCTATGTTCAGTTTCTCAGGAAGGCTTTCTGAATGACCTCCATGGCAGGGGAAAATTCATCTTGAAATGTTGTTTTTGCCACATTTCATTTTTTTAACCATTCGTGGTGAGCCGCGTGTTTGATTTCCTACAGTCGTCTGGTCGCTTATCTCTAGAACTTTTTACGGGTTAAATGGTGAGACCTTGAAAAAGATAGTTAGGCGTACCTATTTCTTACCATGGCGACTATTGACTGACGAATAATCTGATGGTGACTGATTGAGCTTGTCTGGAGTCTGCAACGGTAATCAAAATGCAGTACGAGCTTTCAATCGCCATGCAACCTACAAGCATTGCAGTGGTGCGTTGTCGCTGAGACTCGTTTATGGTGCGCTTGCAACATTTCTTTTGATACTTTGCATCACGGACTTAAAGGCGCATCAAAGAGATAACCAAAAGTGACTCTTGAGAGATTTAAGGTGAAAAGTGGATGACAAATTGGAAATGAGGAAAACAAACCACCAAAAAAACGCTGAATTTAGAGGTTTTGCTTTTGATGAGGTGGATTGTTTTACACAACGGAAAAAGTGGCTCGCTGAGGAGAGAGAATAAGCGCAATAGCATACCAGACAAGAGGGCGCGGACAGCTCTACACACAAATCACCTGCACTCCAAGAACTAGAGCGGCACATAATGGTGGTCATGACAAAGTTTCAGAGATCTCGGCACCCACTTTCTCCTCAGAAAGAAATGTTTTTGCCTCTGCGGATCGATTGAAATAGTATATTACTCGAGCACGGTATTGAAGTCGATGAACTCATCGTAGTTTACGCCATGAAGTCAATTCTTGAGTTTTTTTTTATTATTTTCAACTTCTCTTGCGCATAGAAGAAAATGGTGTTGTGTACGTGAGCGGGGATTTGCTTTCAAACTTCCATCGCCGATTTTGCATCTAGGAATAGGAATTCGGAATCTTAGTAACTGCGATGCTTTCCTGAATCAGGTTTCTCTGCAACAGGAGCGGTTGCAGCACTACGCTCTTAGGATGATTAAAACGCTATTCCTCCCGATTGACGCACGCCATTTTTCAGAAACTGGAATACGGCGCACGGGCTAAAAATTTCGCGTTGCGCCTACCAGTGAGATTTTTGAGGTCTTGCCCCCATTTTTTCAGAATGGTTTTTTGCATGAGGTTGGGGCACTTGCACGAAACACGGAACTATGGTTTATTTTCCCTGAACGGCGCTCTGGATGCCCAAAAATGCTTAGAGAAGCTCAAGCGCCACACCTTAGTAACATCAGTTCCTGGTTGAACCTACTCATATACCCTCTGTTTCGGGAAACGGGAAGAGCGTCGAGTGCAGACTTCACACCGCATATAACGACGGCCAAGAAGAAAATGTGGCCTTTCTTTCTTTTTTTGGCCGTCGTAACTTTTGGTGTATCTGCACTCGACGCTCTTCTCGTTTTCCAGGTAAGATGGTAGCTTAGTCATGGTCCTGATGGCGATATGGCATTCATTACTAGCCGCGGTCACAATTCTGCAATATCACGCAAGCGTCAATCGAAAATGCAAGGTTGTGTCACTACGGAATTGAACCATGATTCAGTCTTCATCGCCTTTTTGTCGTTCAGAAGGTCGCTAAGGAAAAATGGACCATAAATCCATCTTCCATGCACGTGTCCCTAGATAATGCAAAATATCGTTCCGAAAAAGCTGAGCACGGCCTGGGAGCAGGGTCGGTCCTATCGTTGCTACTTTTCAAAAAGTTTTTACGACCCCCCTCCCTCATGAAATGTTTCATACGACCCCCTCTTTCAAAACAATTTTTACCCCAAAAAATTACCGTCGAGCGGGGGGGGCAAATTTTCTCCCGCGCCGCTCCCCACTCATCACATGCAACTTCTTACAACCGAAGCAAGTACGACCCCCCTCTACAAACTCATCAAAATACGACCCCCCGTTGCTACTTGTAGCAACATAGGGTTGACCCTGCCTGGAAGGTGAGGTGCGGCGTGCGTTCCCATAGAAAGAACTTTAGTCTGGAAATTTTCCCATCCAATTAATTGCTTCTGGGAAATCAAAATGGCTGACTCATTCGCCAGCTTGCAATTTCGCAAAAAAATAATAAAGTGGATTACGCTCCTCGGTGTCCAAAAAGGAATCGACTGAGTAGCTCACTTTTAAGATCTGAGCACTAACAGCTCGATTTGAGCGCTAACAGTTCCATCATTTCATTAAGAGTTTCAGGGTATCCTTAGAAATCAAGCACATAAGTACGTAAACGGAGCTAAAAGCTTTACTTATGAATATAGCGAACATAAGCCACAATTAATTACGTTGAAACGATAGCTCCTTAAGCTTTATTATGAAATACAAAAACTGTCTAAGTCAATATTAATACGTCCAAAAAGGACTGCGAGCCACAATACTCAAAAAAAAATATGAAGGGAAGTGAGTTATGGACCGCATACCGTAGGAGGATGTGCGATGATTGAGGTTTTCCATCAGCCTTACATCGTGTTTTTTATGGGGTGTGAGGATACGGGACGAGAAGAAATTCGCTTGGGGACCTTGAGGTGTTTAGGACAGCGACAACGCTTGACGAGCTCAACAACGCACGATAACACAACAACATCGGAATTTTGATGAGCCGACACCCATTTAAGCCCTTCATCGACGGGCATGTTGACCTTGTCGCAGGGCAAACGTAGTCACAGTAATCACGATCTCGAAACTCGAGCAGTTGGAGCTTTTTATATATTGTTTATAGTAAATACAATGAGAGGAAGGGAAGTGGCTCAATGCAAAGGGCGATGCTATCTACGCGTGCGTTCCGAGTATGAAATCCTGGACTGCACGCCGTCCCAGTCGTTCAAGCCTTCCATTTTTCCGAGTCGATTATTTGGTACCAGTTTCACCTGGGAGAACGAAAACGCTGATTTCTTCATCGGCCTTCCCCCACCCCCAAAGCCACCATTAGGCCAAATCGCGCTCAGATGCCGCTAAGATCCTTGATAGAAGTAGAAAGCGTGGCGCACCCGAAAAGGAGATTAAGTGATAGTGACTGCTTTATCGCTTGTCTGTTTTTATTACATACAATCTTTGAAGCATTATGGCCAGGTACTATAGAACTTTCTAATCACTTCGATCGAATTATCAGGAAAT